TGTTTGCCTTTCTTTCCATTTTTACTCACAATGCCTTTTCAGGTTTTCATTGTGCCCAGTTTTTATTTACAGAACACTCTTACTCATGGTTTTGTGACCATGCCCGTCCGTCATTTTTACTCTTGCCATTCCCATTTTTGGGTTTACACCATTCCTATTTTTTTGTTTTTATGGGGGCATGTTTCAGGTCATGCTTCTAGGACTTGAGCAAAGCAGTATAACGTCATGCGGTCAGGACGTGCACTATAGTTTAAGGTCATATAGTAGGATCGTAACGGAGATGGATGACCATTTGTGGTGGCCACAGGGTGAGTATGGTGGTGGTTTGACTCATTTTGGGGTGATGGCATGAGACTTTATGTGAATGATGGATTGTGTTTGGATGGAAGGTGGATAAAGGGGTGACCCGCTAGCTGACGGTGAGTGCGGATGATGGAATGCCTCACTATGGTTTCGTGAGCATGGGTTCGACTCACTGGGGAAGGTGGCGAGGATAATGGAGATAGACTCTTTGGAGAGGCAATGGAGGTGGTAAAAATGTGTATGGAGGCATATTGAAGGTCATTCCCACCAGGACCTGGGCAAAGCAGTTTAGCGTCATGCGGCCAAGACGTGCACTATAGTTTAGGGTCATACAGCTGGACTGTTGTGCGAAGTAGTTCAATGTCATGCGGCCAGGACATGTGCTACAGCTTGGGGTCATACATCTGGACCATTGAGCATAGCAGTTTAACGTCATGTGGCCAGGACGAGTGCTACAGTTTAGGGTCATGCAACTGAACCATTGGGCAAAGCAGTTTAACGTCATGCGACTAGAACGAGTGCTAAAAAAAAAAGTTTAACGTCATGCTGCTAGGATGAGTGCTATAGTTTAGGGTCATGCAACTGGACTGTTGTGAGTCGCCATGTATGTGGGTTGCAAAATGTGGGGTGGACTCACTAGAAGATATGAAATGGATGAGACTCCATGAAAAATGGGTTTATGAATGGTGGTCTGATTCACTGGAGATGAAATGGCTTAGACCATTTATGGGCAGTGGGTTCAGATGGTGATGGTGGCTCAGTGAGGGATGGTAGGTGGAAGCAGGCTTACTGGGGATTAAGAATTGGGTATGAGTCCCTGGGGATAAAAGATTAGGGGATGAATATGGGTCTAATGGGGATAGCCAGATGCTGAGGATTGAACCTTGTCGATGCGCACATGAATAGGCCGGCTAGGGAAGGCATGCGTGGAGGCACATGCAAAAGACATGGGTGGAGTGGTCAAAAGGGTTGCACTTGGCAATGGAAAATGCGCATGGCAACAACACATGATGGTCAAGTGTGTTCGTCAACAAAGTGCATGTGGCAGTGATGCGTACACGGCTGTAGAGGGAACATGCTCGGTAGCACTTGACTGGGGGAATGTGTTGTTCAGCTCATGCGACGAAAGATCACACTTAGCGACAGCATTTGGAGAGGGAATGCGCTCAGCAGCAACCATTTGCCCTGGGCAGAAACATGAACGTGCTCGGCAGCACTAATTTGCATTCGGCGACAACATGAACACACTTGGTAGCAACAGGTGACAAGGGAACGTGCTCGGCAGTGACATGCTGGGCTTTGAGCTCGGGCCTAGACCCGACTCGGCCTGGTCTATCGAAGTTTGGCCTCTTGGATCAGTCTATCATTTCAACTTTACTGGGGGCACTTTTGGTAAGCCCTAACTATAAAAGTGGTGAAAACCCCTTTTACTATTTTATGAAAGGTAAAACGCTAAGGGCTTCGAGGGTGGCAAAGGGTTTCCAAGGAGATTTTGCAGGGATTTTTCGTTAAGGGGTGAGTTTTTTGGTAGGTTTTGTGAAGGAGGAGGCTTCGGTGAGAAGTTTAGCGAAGACTTCTCAATGGTTTTCTGGCAATAGTGAGGCACCAAGAGTAGGAGGGAAGTCTTGGCAGTGAATCGGGGAGGTTTTCTGGAGGGCTGTTGGTGGCTTTCCGACGATAGGGCAACACCGAGAAGGAGGGAGTTCTCGGTAGTGGGCCATG